GCAAAGCTGGAGTCGATGGGGCGATAACAAGAACTACGCTTGGGATTTTTTCCTCCTCTGCCAGACGTCTGCAGGCCCACCCTTGTGCTTAACCCTGGGCACCAAATGGCACCTTCAGTCACTGTAGAGACTTGCTCAGTCCAACCTCTTCCAACTGTCCCCACCTCAACCTCATCCCTCACTCCAAAAGCTGCCCCAAGGATGAAACAATGGGGCAGTTTACAGATAAGACTCAAGAGTGTGAACATCATTATCCGTGTTATTAAGAATGAAAATTAAATCCTTGAGAATATTAGCACACTGCCTTGTCGCACAAGCAAGGGGCTAGTGAGGTGCGTCCTCCTCAACTCATGCCTTCCAAAAGGGCCTAGCCTCCCAAAGTGTGTGAAATATGTCAAGCTCTGCCACCCTCCCTAGTAATTCATGTGTGTGTATTTCTGACAGAGCGCTGTACGGATGAACTCTGGATGTGTGTAACGGAGGCCATGTTCTCTTACGGCTCCCAGAGGATTTGTGGCTGACTCAGTGCAACACACTCGAACACAGGGCTGATCTTCATGGCACTAAGCTCTTAATTACTACTCAGATGTATATATCCACAAATGATAAATCCTCTTAATTCAAACAAGCAACAAAGCAGATAAGACTGTAGTCACACTGTTATTTTAGTATAGTTAATAAGTTTCAAAATGACATGCAATTTATTCATACTCATGTAAAATCTACCACATGAAAAACAAAACCCCTAACCCAATCCTATAATACTGACACTAAAGTGCATAATGAGATGCTGTCATTCCAAAGTGGTCTGCTGCGTTTTAGTCTGATCATTGACGTGTTTACTGTACAAAAAGCTACAATATCTTGAAGGCAGTCAGAATAGGGGTGGGAACTCCAGCCCTAACAGAAAGGTAGCTTCTCTATTTATTTTGTGCAGGCAAACATAAGGTGACCAAAAATAAGCCGTTCAGTTTCTATTTAAAAGTCACGTGCTCATTTTCTTGCTTTGAGACTGCTTAGTCTTTTCCCAAAGAAACTTCCATTTCTGCTCATCACAGTTTACTTTAGTTAAGATGACAGATAAGGCTTTGAAGGTGGCAGTGCTGTACATGGTATCATAGTTACATGGTGAGTCATTGTGTGATAGTAGTAACAGGTCTCATGTATTTGCAACAACTAGTAGAACACATCAGTATTTCTTAGATTTCACAGCTGTAAGAAGCTCTGTTCATTTACAGGAGCAGTCTTAGGAGATCTACTACAATGGCTTTAAAACACTGGATCAAACTGGTGGTAGAGAATGTCATGGCCATGATGCCCCATTAATGGGCCCCTTTTATTTCAATATGAATGCTATCCAGAAAGGACAAAGGTATGAAAAACAATTCAATTCATTGAGTAATAATACTGTTTTGTCTTTATGTTGATTCCTTTTAAAAAAAGACATAATTTAAATATAAATACATATAAGATGTATAGATAAGTATATAGAGATAGCTATGTTAATATGTAGTTTGATCAGAACTGGATTAATCAAAGAAAATCTAAAGGCACCACAATATATCAGCATCACTGGATAAAATACTCACTATACTTTGCATTTATGTAGTTTTGAAACCAAGCAGTCAGAATGCCATATACAGCAGGAAATAAGTCTCATTATTTCAACCTCACAGCCTAGGCAAAAAAGATTCAGATTCATTTGATGATGAGCCATACTCAAACGATCCCAGGTAAAGAATTCAGCTGTTCTGACTCCCAGTTTTTTATCTAGTTAAGAATCAGAAAGTCTTGGGAGCAAGATAAGAAAACTTCAGAAAAACAGAGGATTTTCATTTGGGCCTGTACCAAGAGGTTATAATGAGCAGAGGACATACTCTCCTCTTTGCCAATGGTCTTAATCAGTCCTATTAGCATTAAACAAACTAGCTGGTATAAAATCACTCTGTATTAAAAGAACTCTGAATTACACTTGCATATTGGAGAACAGAGTCTGCATGGGTACAAAGTGAATAGTGCCTTGTTTAATTAATCCAAGTGTATTTAAAGCAAATAGTAATTCATCAGGCTAAAAAATCCTAAAATGTATCACATCACAGTTGCAGCAAATTCACCTATGTGCAAGGAAAGCCTCATTTCTCAATTCCACTGGTGTTACATTAACGTAGCTTTAACTTTGGTTGAGCTAATCCTTGCTCATTTTAGTGTGACAGGAAAAACAAACTTCAAATCTTCTACATAAGGCAGCTTTAAATTTGTTGCAATTCTTTTTTTATATTATTTGACTCCAGTGTCAAATCAACCTTGGCTACAGATATAACAGAGTGACAGACTGCCTTCCGGACTGAGATGAGAAACAGTCAATTTAACCTGATAATTTGAACCTTAAGGAGCCCTTAATATGTAAATGAGGGTGTAAGACAAGATACAGAAAAGATAGAGAAAAGTTCATTATGGATCCAAGCTAATGTAGCACTCCCAGACATGGAGAACACGGTGCTCCAGAAGAAACACCTTCCTGCAACCTGGAGAAATACTTTCCTTCTTTCAACAGCTGAATAGAGAAGCAGCAACTCAGCAATGCTGGGACTTGTCCTGCAGCTAAAGTGCTGTTGGTCCATTTAGTAGAAGTCTCATTCACGCCAGGGGGGTAAAGCACCAAGACTGCTGATATTTTCAAATTTCTTAGCAGCAGTAACCACACAGCAGCTTTTCTGCAAAATAAACAAAACAAGAATCCAGTTAGTTCAGCAGTATAATTTTTTATTTGGTTAAACGTTCTAGGACAACCACATGGTGGTTTCTTTGTGCATAAGGAAAAGAAAGCAGCGCTGAAGCTTCTTGCTTACAAAGGGTTCTTGCAGCCACCTTACTTGTGAGATGTTTTATACACGATATATTAAAAAGACAAGGCCTCTTTGTTAAGCGGAGAAATAGTCCTGGAGGTCTCTCCTGAAATGCAGCTACTCTGCTTTTTTGTCTCTCCTGTCATACAGATCACAGCATGAAAAGGCATGCTGCAAACCACTGCTAGCATTTATAATGCCAGGTCTAAATCAACTGGCACTTGAGTGTATTATTTTGGGTTAAATGTGGTAACCATACTACTTGCCTGATAAAAATAGCTAAAGGGATTCTTTAAAAACAAAGCACTGCTATGACTTTAGATCCACTCATTAAGTAAACGCAAATAAACTCCAAAAAGAAAAACACACACAGAGGAAATAACACTGCAAAAGCCAAAACCAGGTTTTCCTGCAGGTTAGATCATGGGTAGGTTACTACGTTACGAAGCTATAAAAAGTTTATTTAAAAATAATTTTGACTGCTGTTGGACAGTCAATTTATCTCAAAGTTGATTTTGGTTGTAATAGAAAATTGTGTAATACAGTGTTTCCTGCACTAGAGAGGGATAATTTTCACCATTTGGTTGCTGTGCAGTTAGTGGCTTCAAATGGGAAATACACATTAAAACACTAGTCCTGTAACAGGTCAGGAAAACCTGTTTAGAAAACTACTATGTAGAAGTACACAGGTGAGTGGACCAAAGCTTCATGTAACCTGCCCCAGCACCAGTGAAATGGGGATGAATGCTGAGGATCACAAAGAGGTATTCATTCCCACTGGATTCCCACTACAGAAGCTGATGTTCAGACATTACCATATCAGGAAGTTATGTGGCTTCCGAGAGCAAGGAGGATATAACAATGGTACCTTAGTCCTCACTGACCTCCAGCGTACAACAGAAAGGCAGCTTCAAGTCCCCCGGACAGCTCATTTAAAGATCGTTAACTTCTGTGTTACTATGCTACTGTATAAAATTTGTTCTAACTTTAGTCAGTCAAAACAGAACAAAAATTTCAACCTCTAACAATGCTCTCTTTTTTACATGTTTCTGGATGAAACCTGTTGCAAACAAACCCCAGTACATCACTTGCCCTACCAAGCAGATGATGGATGACAGCAGCATTAAAAACTTGCGTGTGGTGAAAAGTGGACTACTTTTATTTTGGCATCCTGGTTGTTACTCATGACGCACGACTAAAAGGAAGTGGTTTTACAATGTGTGTGTTCTCAGTCTCATTCACATCTTGGCCCTCCACTGAGTTTTGCCCAGAGATGCCCCCAGAACCTTTGAGTCATTCCCATGGTCCTTCAACAGAGGTACCAACTTCTGTGGTAATTGGTAAAAGGGTCTGTGGGAATTGGTGCACTGGTTTATGGAGATACTGTACCGCCGGAGGTAGCCTGTGTCAAAGTGTCTGCGTGACTATGCTTTGGTCATAGACCAGAGACAGAACATGAGAGCAGACTTGAGTCTCCCTGATCCCCAGGGGAGGCAACCAATCCAGCCTGAGAACCACTAATGAAGTGTTTGTTAATGAAAGAGCAAAGACAGGGAGCCAGAAACAAAGGACAGAGAGCAATGGTCTGTCAAAATTGGTTTGTTACAAGCTAAAAGGCAGAGAAATGGCCTGTCAGAACTGGGTCCTCAAAAGTGTGGAGCAGCTTCTTTTAGGGGACACCTCACTTTTGTTTCACTACAGTTAGTGGAGATGCCCTGAGGGTCTGGCCCGTGCCTTTGCTAAAAAGTAATTACTTTTCGTATTTCCACTCTTTTTAAACCATACTCCTAACCACAGCATGAAAACCTAAAAGCTTTCAACACTGAAAAATTATTGGGTGAAATCCTGACCCATGAGAGCCAGTGGGAGCATAACTATTCCCTCTAAAATGGTCAGGATTTGCAGCACATAGGGTTTCATATATATGAATTTTTTTCATATTGATGTGATTTGGTATAAGTGGTAGGGCCAGTTTACATTTTGAATGCTTTCCAAACAACAGCAAGGATGGTGGTGGTAAATACAGTTTGGACCATGCACTTTGGACTATGCAAGGCTTTCGGCCACCCACTGATCCCTTCCACAGGGGTTACAGTATTTATGCCTGAAGAAAACACTTGGAACCTGAAACAAACCTTCTGTTTGGCAGCTCTTTCAGAGAGATTGTTGAGCCGGGGGTGCTTGGGACACACCTTTAGCCTTCTTCTAGGGGAAAAGAGAAAGAAAAAAAGCAGAAAGATGCCATTATTGGAGCATTAATTGAAGATCAATCACATCTTACCTTTAGTTAAGGTAATGTCAGAACACTGCAACATCAGCATGTTTAGTGAAGCTATTTTTGTAAAGCACAAGAAGTACGAACAAAAAATACCGGGGAGGAGCTACAAAGGGTGAGTTATAAGGTTTCTATTAGGATAGGGTTTCCCCAGAAGAAAATTGGTGATAGGAAGCAGCATAGCAGGTAAGCAGCCCGTGTTCTTGCAGCATTTGGAAAAGACAGCCTGTTCCCCAGGTTTACAGGAATCAGAGCTCCACTGGAGCACAACTAAAGGAGTCAAATTGTACCCTATGAAACCCTCTAAAGAGATACTTACCTGTGACAAACTCTCTTATTTTTACTGTGTACACACACTTACAAATCTTCTAATAATCTCATGGGCATTGCTGTTCTGGGACATTACAATGAAAACAAAATTTCAATGGGAATTGTAATAATTTATTTGATTGTTATTATTTCCCACTTTATATTATTTCTTGTTATCCTTACTCTGTATAACAGGATCATCTCGCAAAGACAGATGTCAGGATACTACTCCGTCCATCCTGCCCAGAACCCACACCACCTCATCAGCAGAGCTACTACCGCTTTATTATCATCATCATCTTTGCTCTTATTTTAATAAGCTTATTTTATTAATTAATAATATGGTCTCTTAATTCTTAATGATGGCTGTAGTTCAAAAGGCATACACATTGACATACACATTCTAGGCTATACAGCAGTTATTTTGTTTAACATAGATGTGCTTTGCCTGCAGAGAAGGAAGTGAATATTGCACTTCAAATGTTGTAAAAATTCTGAAACATGCTTAAAATTACACCCTCATGAACCACGGAACCACAGAGAAGACTCACTTAGAATCAGCCAACAGCAAGCTCATCAACAGTGTGAATCTCCCAAACTCACTGACTTTAATGGAGGAATAATAAAAATTATTTAAAATCTTGATCCTCCAGTTCAGCCCAACTGAATTGTTTGTGTGAACAAACAACTCCTTTTTTTTGTGTTGGCTACAAAGCTGGATATCATCGAAGGGCAAGAAGGTGCTTAAGTACAAAGATATGCACTGGGTGAGGTTCCAAGCTCTGTTGGGAAAGGTATCGCTTGAGAAGAGGTAGGATGAAATCTAACAACGCTCATGGGGGACTTCAGGGGAGCCTGAAAGGGTTTTCAAAGCAGGAAGCAGAATCAACCTCAGCTTGAAAGCAGTTTTCAGTACTCATTTTGTAAGTAGTCTCATTTTGCTAAGAAATGGACCCACTCAGCAACATGCAGCAATTGCATGATCTTCTGTTTCTTCCCAGATGTGCAAGAACTGATGAGCAAGTGTGAGCATGCAAATTACAGTAGCTAAAAAAATGCGAGGGGACACGTGTGTCACAATGGCAAGAAATGCAGCAGCAAGGAAGACTCAAACACAGTTAAGAAAAATGTCAAAACAAATAGTGATGTGGCAACACAAGAAGGCAACAGTAAATCTACAATGCACAAGGATATTTAAATTTAGGGACCTGGAGTCTGCAGTGGAGCTTGTGGTCTGATAACCATGGGTGTTTTAAGGCAGCAGTTGCACTTATTCTCCAGCTAAAGGAAAACCAGAATGCTATTAAGTGTTTTTCCCAGAATCTGACAATTCAACAATTCTCTCCTACAGGTCATGTGCTCTGCCATCATGCAATGATGTCATTTCAGGACACTATGCCAGATGACAGCTAATCCATGAAGTAAATTTTTCATCACAGCAAAAATGCATTCAGGTAACTTCAGAGCATTTAATGGACACAATGAACAACATCAATGAAGTGGCATTAGAATATTCTACATGGACATAAAAAACTTACACAAGTCATGATAGTTCTGCAATGGAGCAGCACAAGTGACACAACTGTGACATGATGGCATGGAACACACATTTCAAAGATAAAGGGATTATATACCATTTTTCCTTGATGAGTAGTTTTGAGATGAAATCTTTGGCCTGATCAGAAACACCTTGAAATTCCACATCTTCAAAATCCCAGCTACAGGACAGGATATTGTTGAGGGTCTCATTGTCATCATCACCCAAAAAAGGAGACAATCCACTGAGGCTAAAGTAAAAAGAAATATATTCAATCCTCCTGTCTTTTCCCCTTCCTGTACATCATCTCTAATGTGCCACCTATGATTGTTCTGTCACTTCTGATCTATCTTGCAATATTGTCTAAGAAAGTCTCCAGACCATTCACATTCTCTCTTCTGCTTACATGTTTAAATAATCACCCTTCTTCCCTAGCAAACCAAGCATTACTGTCTTTCATGGTAGGTCATATTTTCTAGACCTTTGACCACTCTTGCACATACCTACTGAGAACTTACCAAGCAGTCTACATTATTCTGTAAGTGTGATACTCAAACACTCGTGAGAGATGTACAATGAAACAAAGAAGAAAAGTTCATGGTGATTGGAAAAGAGGAGAGATTAATACAGAATTTGGAAAGAAGCCTACCTTTTCTATTTTGGGTACATATTTTGTTAATATTCCAGTATAACAAGTTTGGATGACTGACACAGTTCAACCTAGAAACAGCTTACAAAGCAGATACTGAATCCTACTTACAGCATATAAGCAATGACTCCTACACTCCACATGTCTGTAGGAAAGGAGACAAACTCATAATTCACAACTTCAGGAGCAAGAAATTCTGGAGTCCCAAAGTTAACTCGAAGTTTTTCCCTGGGTTTATATCTAGGAAATTGAAACATTAACAGAGGACATCAGTTACAGTTCTAATTAAAGTTGTAAGTTGTCTAGCACTTAGAGGGATTTCAGAAGCAGGAAATTCAGTAGGAAAACAAGGACAGACAGAGGTACAAAATAAAAATAAATATACCCATATAAAGAATGAAAAATGCTTGCAAGCTTTATATCATACTTTAAGGCAAAACCCAACAGCTATACAAGGAAGAAATTCAGATTTCAAGGACTCCTCAGAGCAGCTGTTATCATCCTTTTGGGGCTTCTCCATATCATAGGCATGGAATTTTTAACTAGTAAATCTTTCACTGAGGTTATGGTACCTAATTAAACTAGAAAGTGATATAGCGTGGGGTATATTGTAACAGCCCTGATGGTCTCTTACACTCTCTTTTGAAGAATCTCATAACATCAGAGACAAGAGGCCAAACAAGATGTACCACTGGTTTTGTCCATTTTAGCTGTTCCAAGATACTTACGTGCATGCTTAGTCAGAATCAGCCCTCTTTCAACTTTCTACCTGAAAAAAGGCTTCAGAACAAATCTTTTTTACTCAGCTCCAAACATTCCTTATTAAAATATAGCCCTGATTAAAAGAACCACATCAAACTTGTCCTAAGAACAGTAGGAGACCATTATGTATCAAATACATCATTATAGAGATGTAGTACTTTTTTTCATTGTTTCCTAATTCATTTACAATTAGCAAGAACACATGCACGTACCTTCTTGCCAATCCAAAATCAATAATTTTTATTTGATTTGCTGCTCGGTTCACACAGAGGATATTCTCAGGCTGCCAAGAGAAATCAGAAAACACTTTAATGAGAAACAAGTATGAAAAACTGGCCTTTTAGCAAACTGTTGGGAGAAAAACACTAAAAACACAGCAAAGATCTCATAAGCACCTTTTGCTTTCCTCCTTGGTCAGAGTTCTCTGCATGGGTACCCCCCGCCCCGCTATCACACAGCAGTTGAGGTCGTGTGTTCTGTGCCTTGCTACTGCTTTTTCTTCTCCTTGGCTTTTCAATTTGACGTAAGGCAGCAGTTCAGATAAAGAACTCATTAGGGGGAGTGGGACAGAGAATGTAGACTTCCAAAGTGGGGTTTCAGGATGCTGGCTACAGACCTTAATAAGCTGACACTGGTTTTTTTTGTTTTTTTTTAAAAAAAAAAAAACAGATTTGGTGGGCTTTGAAGTTTGTCTTACAGCTTTAAGTTTCAGAGTTCAGAAATGTTCTGGCAGTAACTGTCTGATTGAACACTGATATATTAAGCTAGTCACATCAACTTTATGATTTTCTCTGATATTTTAGCAAAAGGTAGGATTCACAGGTTAAATCCCTCTGGATTTTCATAGGGCCAATTGCTGTTCTTCACTTCCCTGGCAGGAATCCATTAACTTCCTATAATTACTCCAAATTCATACAGAAGAGACTGAGCACAGAATTTTGCCAATTGTCTTTGAAATGTAAATACCTAAGAGTCTCGTATTCACTGCCAGCAGTTTTATAGCTACTCTGTCTTGTTGCTCATTGAGTCCTCTTTGAAACATAACAGCCCTCAACACTGAAAACATTAGTTAACCTTTGTCACGATTACTAATTCATTTTACATGTAGGACTTTAAACACCATAGGACTTTTAAACACCATATGTCCATAGTTTCTGACGTCCTGAATGATTATGGTTGGGATGACTTTCTTTCAGTTTCAAGCTTTCTTCCCAAACACATTTGTTACTGACAGCAATCTATGAACAAGCAAAACAGAAGGGAGAAGCCATAGCTGGCAAGCACATGAAAAGAGGTCTCTGAGAAGAATTTCTTGGATTGTATATGTATCTTTTTGTCAGCAGTTTGACCTCATATTAAAATTGTGCCATCTCCAAGAACATAATTAATGTGTAACAAAGAACCGTGCAAACTTCTGCTTGACAGGTTTCTAGGTAACTGGGTGTTTATGAAGAAACAGAAAAGTGAGTCTGGTCATTGATTAGCAACTGAAGCAGGTCCCAACAAGCATCTGCTCATTTGCTTAACCACTGCAATAATATATATGCTAACATTAAAGGTGTACTATATTAACTCAGATATTACAAGCCACAACGAGCAGCTGTAATAAAAATCTCAAAGAGAAAACTGTCTTGTGCACTTTTTGTTTCTTTTTGCTTTGTTGCAAAGCTCAGAGATCACTAGGAAGCTTTATAGCCAGTCATAAAACTAAAGACTTCATCCTGTTTTATTCCTGCACTAAACAGAGGTAAGAAACAAGTCTATTATTTGATAAAAACTTGGTTTAAGGGAGAAAGGGCCAGCTCAAATGTACAATCTAATGAAAAATATCTTTACAACAAATGTTTTCTAAGGGGTGACAGTTAACCATTAGCAGCCAACCAGGTAAGAATGTGCAATTGGTGGATTTGTTTTTAAAAAGAAGCGAGGAGACTTTTTGTGTATATAGTTGAAGAGTTCAGATAATGAAGCAAGTACATAGCAGAGAATCTGCCACCCTCTTCTGGGCTTTCAGCTGCACTAGCAGCTATTGCCTAACCCAACATAGGCATACTGTATTTGTTACATCAGCCACTGACTATTTTTATTTCTTTCATTTTAGCAAGTACATTTTGATGTATTTTCCCTTAAGTTGGCTATCTATTGATGCTTTTTCATAACCATGACAGTGTAGTGTAGTCCTCAAAGATGTGCAGGGTTTCCACTGATCCTGAATGACTCTTGAATTTAGTTCCACTCACTCATGCCTTGGTTTCTGCATGGTAAAAAAGGGGGATAATTACTACACCATGGCTGATGTGTAAAGCAGAGATCTTGTGCAGTTGAATTAAATAATATTTGCACAATATCTTGAGATACAAATATCAAAATTGAAAATAGCAAGGTATTTGTAGTCAGCTGCTGGCTTTCTGTAAAATTAGTCCATGGAAAATTCAAGGGCTATGAGACTCGATGACATATGACCACAATTCTCATCTAATTTACTTAGTTCTGTAGTAATTTAACTGATCTCAAGGTGGTTAAAGTAAATACACATTGATCTAAGGAAAGCAGAATAAGGCCCTTTGTTGTTTCTGCCATGGGAATCTGCTAAGCTGTATGGCCTACCATTAAGAATAAGAATTTCTACAGCTGTCATTGCACAAAACATACATCTCAGTTCTCTACCTTGAGATCCAAATGAAGAATGTACATTTGGTGCATGTACTGAATTCCCTCGCAGATCTGTTTTATGAACAAGATAGTATCCATCTCTGTCAAATTGCAGTTTTCATCAATAATTCGGTCAAATAACTCTCCTCCTTCCACACTGATGAGAGGAAGACAACAAAGTGGTCACCAAGTCCAAATCCAGTCCCATGAAATTAGATTAATACAGAATTTATATTATTGACTATTTTAATCATTCACAGTCAAGTTCAGTAAGGTGAGTCTACAATATGAGCTTGTACTCTGATCTGAACTTTACAAGATCTATGTTCTGGTGCATACCAGCCTGAACTTCTTCAAGGTCTGAGAGCCCAGTCTCCCACCCAGTGATAAGTATGCAAGTCTTGAGATTTGAACGGTATGCTGTCTTGAGTCATCATTTTGTACCAGTAAAATTAATGAAGTCACATGGAAAACCAAGAAAACATGCTGAAGAATCTGTATTTAGAACCACAGTCTCCTCCCTCAGAATTTAAGAGAGACATGATCCAAAATTTCAATTTGAAACTATCTAAAGTCAGCAAAAATTACTTCTTAATTTCTCATCACATTTCGGAATGCCTCCAGCTTACCCATTTATAGCTACACAGACATTTACCCTTTGTGATATGCTAATCATGTAGACCAAATTCAGAGGACTATCTGAGAATGTCCAGAATAGCCACACTCACATAACTTTGAACTTTCTACCATGCCTTTCAATGTTTTTGTTACAACCTTTTTGGCTTCCTTAAGACATCATCTGCTTAATTTTACTTTAAGGCAGCTATTTTTGCCTAATTAGCCTGATCACCCAGAATAAAAAACAGGTTTATCATTCAGGCATCCAGTATAAAGATTAGGCACAACATCTACAGCTGGCTCCTCTTCAGTGTAAGATGTCTTCTCGTTTGCCTCATAGAACTGGAGATATTGAGAGATCTGTTTCTTAGCTGACACAAATTAAAATTTGAAATTAAAGAGAAGATATATAACACAGCTCTATCTTCAAATGGAGCAGTGGCTTTACAGTACCAGGAATGTGGCACATCACTGGAAAAAATGCCTAAATGGCTGCACAGGAAAAATTTTATCTTAAATTCTGGGGTTTTTTTGTTCCTTAGAACATCTTTCATATGTTCTTACTACCTGTAAGAAGTTCTATTTCTAATTTCAGGATAAAGTAAGATGGAAATAGACAATCCTAGCAAAAGTGCTAAAGACAGAAAGGGAAAGAAAAGAACACACTTACTATTCCATGACTAGGACAATGTCATTTTTTGATTCAAAGGCATCATATAGCTGGATGAGGTTCACATGATTCAGCTGGTTCATGACATTGATTTCATTCTTTACTTCATCCTGTAAAGAGTCATGCATATTGTTGCAGAAGCCTTTTCTCTAAGCAAGCTACATGAAACGACATAGTTTGAACCAGACATCTACATTATCTTCATGTTTTCACTTGTGGCAACCAAACTCAGCCTTGACTGCTCCTGCAGTGGTAGATGTCAAGGCTATAGGAGCTTCTAGACTGAACGCAGACCTCAAGTGGTGGACCGCTTCAGTAATAAGCTATATGGGGTGGGGGGAAAGGAAGTGTAGAGCTAACATGGACAAGTGGTGGGTTCACAGGGATGTAACAAAAAGAGGGGAGCAGAATAGGACTTTGTTCAACCACCTGTAGGTATGCAAAATGAAGATGTGTAAGAAAAGTCCAGGACAGTCCTCAAAACCGCCCTTTGCAATCAGGAGAGAGAGACTGGTACCTCCATTCAGCCCAACCATTTTAGATGTGAAGTTTAGGATGTGCTGAATCATTCTCTGGTGGTGCCAATCTCTCTCCATTGACTATAAGGGAATTCTTGGTGATCAGTGTGGCCACAGCTATAATTTAGCAATCCCAGTTAGTTGAGACAAATCCCACCCTTCAATGCCATTAATGACACCGCTGTCACACAAAGGATGCTATGTATGTCTTGCCTGTGAAAGCAAGGCCCAGATGGCCTTGAGGTTTGCAAAACAGGACAGACGAATTCTTCCTATCTGTATTTGTGTTGATCATGTCTGTTATCAGCATCCCTCACAGTGACATCAAGTCATTGCAGCAAAGGCTACAGTGTGCTTGGGAGGGAATACACTATGTCACAGGCCTGACAAATGTTATTACCATTAAAGAAAACACGAATAGATTTAATAGCATAAAGCTAAAAAGGAAAGACAAGGAAACACAAAAAGCCAAAAAGAAAGTTGGAAAAATTCAGATTCTAAAAAAAAAGAGAAAGCCCAAGAGGACTTTGATGAGTTAGTAGAAGTTCTGGAGGAGAAGGGAAATAGACCTAGAGCCCATGGTAAGCCAGCAGATCCTATGAATGTGATGGCTTGTGAGCCACTTGGCCATGGTCTGTTGTGTAGCTGAACAGTGTGGGATCCATTGAAGAGCAAAAGACTAATATCACATTCTACCAACCTTCTGTTTAGGACCTTTCGCTTTTATAATTTTGGCTGCTAGTTTGAGACCTGTTGCTTTCTCTTCACATTTGTGCACTTGACCAAATCGCCCTCTAGGGAAAACAAGGAAAAAAAAATCATCCAGTGATACTGGTGTCAGCCCTGAATGTAAAATAGGTTATAAACAACAGAAATTACCTTCTCCCTACTGGGTTCCATTTCAATTGCTCATTGCTTCCATTTTGTTGCACAGATTTGACTTGCTACTACTCATTTAGGCACACCAAAATCACACACTGTTCTAGCTGATATTATCCCACCTGTATGATTCACTATACTCACCTCATAATGTTCAATGACTAATCCCGGGGAAGTCAATATACTGTAAGGATAATAACTCATTTATGTGCATGATCTCCCCCTCTCCATCTCATCAGTCTCCTCCAAGGGAGGGTTGTGCTTTCATGATGAAAGCCTTACCCATGCTGCCATCAAAAATGACAATATCACTCTCCTAAACAATGTCAGCATGAGAGATCAAGTAACTACATGGCCTGTCAGATTAGCCTGCTGATATATCTGAAAACATGCACGTGTTTTCAGGGATGGGACCCACTGAGAGAAAGAAGGCTACAACATGTCTCTGCGTCCTGCTGGCTGGAATGTGAGGTAAAGTATTACAGCATCCTAGGAGCCCTGTCATAAAGCCTGAGGGCAGCTGGCTGACCTAGAACAATACCAAATACAAGCCAAGTCTGCTGGTGCCAAACTTTAAGCCAAAATTCACTCACACAGTAAAATCAGCCTCCTGTTTTCATTCCTCTCTAAAGCACTGTTAGAGCTTAGACTTTCATGACCGGCTCTAGTGAGGCATGTTGCCTCCACTCATCTCCTGGGGTGCTTGGCTCTAAATTTGTGCCTTGCTTTCCATGTTGATTGGGTTCACCTGACTTACCCTCCCAGGATTTCATTCTCACTGACGTTATAATAACTGCTGATCCCCACCCTTTTGGCTGAAACAATCCGGTGATCAAATGGTGCTGGTGGGGTAGGACTACCATCTACAAAAGACAAAACAGACAGATAGCATAAGAGTGGTAACATGCAGTGCTTGTCTATCTTGTATTTTAGTCCCTCTTTTCCCCAGGTAAACTCATTTAAGACTGAATACATCTATTATAAGTTTTATCAATAGGTCTTTCTCTGTTATTTAAGACGGGTTTTATTCCAGAAGCTCTGGCTCAGAAAACAGGGTGTTGTTGCTATACTACTAAGACAAGTACTCCTTTATTAAGTTAGCATCTTTTGCACAACAATAGCAAGAGGCAAAGTGAAGACCCCTAGACTAAACCAATGCAGCTTCATGCCCACAAAGGGCCTCAGCAATTTCTTTGGAAGAAATTAAGTTTTATTTCCCCTCAGGGACTGTTAATATGTGAGTATGTACTGTAACTCTCCAGTGGAGTAGGAAGACAGACTGAGCTCTCCTCTACCCAGCTAAAAGAGGCTATTTCCCAGCTTTTGCATTTAGAGCTTGTGCACATGAGGGAGTTTCACCCTGGCAGGCAGCACCTGGGATTTCCAGTATGGCTCAGGACCCGGTGTGGTAGAACACATGGTAACTGTCACATGCTGCTCTGAGGAATTTCTGTCCTTAAAAAAAGATGGCAGATAAAAGGTAAAGAGGGGCACAGACAAGGGATGAGTTCCCAATGTCACACTGCAGCAGCTATGGAGTTTCGGCACAAATGCAGGTCTCTGGTATTATTGTCTGGACCTCAACGTGCTGGACCATTCTGCCGTCCTGATGTCAAAATCCCTGCTGGAGACCAGCCCTGCATGCCTAATTTCTCTTTGGATTTTTTGCGGGGTGTTGCAACTTCAATTTCATACCCACGTTGTTTTTCATTTGATTGATATTCCCGAGAGTGACCTTTGGCTGACCAAGGTGACAAATACTTCTTCAACTGGTTAGGAGGGCTAGAGCCCCAGTGTTTCAACATGAGCTCTCTGGTTTGGAATGCCGGCTCCCTTTTGTGTGGGGCTTGTTGAGCAATTTTAAAACCGTTCATTACTCCAGTGAAAATGATTAAAAACACAAACAAAAAAAAACCATGACAGCATGTAACTGGCAGGAACACTTTGGTCATTAATGTAGCAGTAGATTGTCCTTATTCACAGTGAATGTCCATTTTTCCAGGACACCAGCTGTGTACCTAGATTTTTTTTGACAGTGTTAATAACTTACATGGTCAGGAAGTTAGTTCATGGTCAAGGAATTGTGAAAAGCTGGGGCTTCTGGAAGTTTGCCACCTACTTGGGATTCTGCAGAGTTTGAATTGCAAGTCCTTAAGTATAGGCCTTTGCGTGTTACCGAGATCCACAAAATGCCAAGAAAACCTCTATCCTAAAGGCAGAATTTGAGGGCCCCAGAATGTAAGTGACAGAAGAAAATGTCTTTCTGAAAGCTCAGCTCCCCAGTGTTACCAAACTTTGGGCAAGGAAGTTTTCTTTCAAAGAGGCTAGAATGCCTCTTTAAAACTATGCCTAAGCTTTAGCCTTCAAGATTTTCCCAGTGATAGATATTTTTATTTTCCTGCACACCAGAGGGGATTTCTCCCTATTCAAGAATGACCTCCCATTACAGATCAACGATGCTCCAAGAGAGAGACTCTAACCTTAATATCATTGCTAACAATCTGCCAGAGCTCAGGAAAGGTTATGGAGTTTAAAGTTTTAGTACACTATCTCCTGTTTCCTGCTACAAGAGCCTAGCACAAATATTTAATAAATGTTTCCCTTTCCCGCTCTCCCCCCATTCTCAAAGCAAAGAAATTCATTCTGAGTCCTATACATGCACATGCACACACACATATCTTCAAATCCTTCAGGCCATCCTCTCATGTGCCATCATTTCACATACAGGGATAGGCACTGAAATTCTCAAGCTGGAGGTCTAATATTAGAAATACCTGCTTCACCCCAGTAAGCACTGCTTCAGAGTTTGGTGCCTAAGCACCATTCATCTGGCTGTTCAACAGCATCAGTCAGGCTTCCACACAAAAACCCATATTTCTTTATTCTATAGGCTGCAGTTGTTCTCACTTCAGATTGCAATGGTACGAATATGAGCAAGCTGGCTTTGCAGGCTACATCCAGAGCATTGCAAATTCTGTGTTAACACATATTCTCAGCACTTCCACAGGTCAAACAATTTTTCCATACATGATATAATTTCTCCCACCACTCTATACTTAGGAGTTTTAGCTCTGTTGTTAAAAGAAGATGGAAAGAGGATAGTATTAATGGACTAGCTGTGGCAGAAGCAAATTAGTTGCGACTAATTTCTGCCAGAACAGAAGCCTCTAAGATGGAAGAAAACAGAACCATGTTATTTCCCATCTGCTTAGGATGTGGCCCATGAGCAACTGCTTCCTGTCAGAGCTACCATGCACACCTTTTCCCTCTAGTAACTACAATCATGAAATCATTTTTTTCTACAGATGTCTCTCTCTGATCGTCACTGTAATACCAGTGGAATCAAATGCTTTGCCTTTAGGAATACTTCCTGTAAGAGCTTTTTTCAGTTTTACATATGCCATCAGCGCTTTCTGCATCTAGCCTGCTCCTTTTGTTGTCATCTTTGATTAGGCCTTCATCATTCACTTGATGCTTACTGCTACCACTATGCTCAAATTGGCAGGTCTGCTCAGTGACTGAACTATAATTTCTTGTACCTTTTTCGCAGCCTTTACACCTGCAAGGACAAAACATGGCATTAGAGCAGGGTACACTTAAAGCAGAGCAAATTTAGAAACATAGGTGAAAAATGCCTACACATATACTGCATTCAAATCACATTAGGTTATTTTGCTCCATTGTGTAAAATAAACTGTTTTAATACTCACTTTAAGAAATAAAAATGACCCCTAAGTTAATAATGACAGCAAAATGTTTCTCCATTACAGAAATCTTCACCTCAGTTCTTCTAAATTTAACATTTTGCTATCAATCTCATCTTTAAAGCAGTGGGAGAGCACTGGGATTTCGCTCTGTTCTTATAGGTTCCTGAGAGCTTAAACTGGTTTATTCCTGAAGGGCTATATATCAATGCAGCAAAGAAAGAATTACAGTAGACAAATTTCTGAGTTTAGCCTGAGCAAAGTTTCAGTTTTATGTTATCACTTAAGTTACTACATTTTGCAGTAGCTTAATTCCCAACTGGTACATGGCCTAATCTAACCTTATTTTGCTCATGGGTTATATGATGTTGCAGTATATAAACATAACAATGGGAGAATTCTCCTCAGAGGTGAATAGCCTAATGTAATTCCCATGTAGTTAACCTATTTCCCAAGCAAACAACCAAAGTGCACTGCTAGTACTGTGTATGATAGACTATTTGCCTGTCTTTTTTAAGTGTATAATTTCAGCTTAGAGCTCAGATTGGAGAGATAAACTCATTTTACACTTTAGTATCAGGCTTGATTTTCATCAACATTTACATCAAGCAGCCACTTTGACTTGAACTTTTCTTAAGTATGGGTCTCTTAAGAACGTGCAGCCTGAGCTTCGGACCTTACCTTCCCTCTGGTGCCTCTTCATCATGGCTTTGTCCTGCCTCATCTTCATTTTGGGAAGGAGCTGGTGGTTCCTCAACTTCTTTTTCACTCTTACCAGCTTTTTCACTCTTATCAACATTTCCCTCCCCTTCATTCTTCCTCTCTTCTTGTCTTGCACCTCCAGACACCTGATATTCCTCCTTCTTCTCCCCATCTGCTGGGGACTCATTCTCCATCTGCTGCCCAGTTATCCTTTGACAAGTATCATCAACAGCATCTTCTTTTTGCTGCTTTTCAGTATTGAAGAATTTCTGAACAGAGCTTCTCCTGTATTTGTAATAGCTTTCAAAAGCCAAACTTTCTCCTTTCTCCTCTGGCCCTCCAGTATGAAATTTGGGAGGATCCATTTGAAGCAAAACAGAACTTTCCCTCTCAGCATTTTCCTTGTTGAGCTTATCAACTTCTTCTTCTGGAGAGCAGGACTGGGTCTTCTGGATGGCCTCTTCTGTAAGTAAACAGATTACCAACGAATCTGTCAGTAATTCTCTGATAGTAACAATTGCACACTTAGCATAACTTCTGTTGCATTTTTAATTAGGCACTTGCTTTCCTCTCCCAATTTCAAGGTCAGTGTAAATCTCTCCTAAGCAAGAACAGACTAATTCTCTAAAAGTAGTGGGATATCATGGGTCACAAACTCTTCCTTTCAGACACAGCACTAGAAAATGTTTTTCTCATTCAGATTTATTGTCAGCCAAGTCAAGGTTAATAAACTTCTCATGCAAAGCACTTTTTTGAGCAGTTTGCCACCAGGTGCACAAGCATGTGAAAAGTAGGCTGATGTCACTTGGACAATTCTCACTCATGCTGATGAGCACACATGTAACCCAATCATCTTCACTAGTGATGCTCAGGAGAGTAATGGCTACTTCTATGCAGTTGCACCCTTGGAAACTAGAAACTGATCACAAAAAAAAAAAAAAAATCTAACCTGTTGAATCTGGTGGCTTCTTCTCTTTTGTTCCTGTCTCATTCAAATGCGATTTTTCTTTGATGACCTGTGGAGAAGCAATTGATGTATTAGTCAGTGTATACAGTGTTCATGTTGTATTGTTCCTCATGAAATTGCAGCCAGATTTTTTTGGTGAAAACCAAGCACTCTGTGTTCTAACTTATGCTCTTCCTATAAACAATTGTCCTTATTTTAATCAATACCAAGCTGACCAGATTGGTACCGGTGTAAAGCAAGAGAAATTATCTCAGTTGTAATAAATGTCAGTGTTGGCATAAACACAGCCCAGAAAAGATCAGGGTTGAGCCTCAGGGACTGAAAGAAAAAAACATCCAGAAATGAGCTGTTGCACTGCACTAGCTTTGGCTGTTAAAAACTAGGTTAGTTAAATCAACGCTAGGAATATTTAATATTCTAGTAAAATGTTCGGTAACAGTCTTACCAACAGATTTCAAAAAGTTTTTTTCTGTTAATCAACATCTGGTAACAACATTTTTAATGATCCAATAATTTATTACAGGCTGACCCAAACAGTTACCAGGAATGAGATTGTATAAACTATGTCAACTTTGTAGCGTTCTCTTATCTACATTTTACAATGTTACAGTGACATCTAGAGGTGCTTTATACCAGGCCAGCTCCTCATAAAAACTACTATTACTGTGACCTTTATGGCTATTTACGCATATTCCTATGCTGTTTGCTCAGTGTGTTTTTTCATCGGCCACTCCTAGACTTGTAGTAGGATGGTGACAACAGTAAACCATGGAGTCTGCTGTTGCTCAGTGCTCCTTTCCACCTGCCTTCTTCCTGTCACAGTACTATGAAACTGGTACTATCGTTATTAGTAACAGATCCACAGGGTGTGAAAAATGCAGATACCTCCAAATATGTTCCAGAGAGACTACTTTTGGTCTTTGAATCACAGAATCATTAAGGTTGGAAGGGACTTTCAAGATCAAGTCCAACCGTTAACCCAATGCCACCATGCCCCGTAAACCACGTCCCGAAGTGCCATGTCTACACATTTTTTG